CCAGTCCTTCCACTACTTTCCAGAAGAGTCTGAGAGCAAAAGGCCAAGGAATTACCAGGTGACAGTTGGAAAATCTTGTCCATACATCAATGTGACCAAAGCCTAGCCTCCAACATCTCTCACCCAAACACAATTTAAAACTCTAATTTTCTGCTTTTTAAGTTATATGTATAATACAAAACATACATACCTAGAAATAATAAAATTACCTTAATGAGAAGATCCAGGGCTGGGATTCTACATTTAGCAGCTTTATCTTTTGTGTAAACACTGGTACAAGTATTCTAGGTGTTAAAAAGAGACATACCAAAGTCATCAATAAGATTCTATTTCTTAGAAAACCTCCCAATAGCTAAAACTACACTTCTGAGAGGAGCAATACCAACATGACATACTATAATTTAGCATTCAGTTATTTAAAATATATTAGAGTATATAAACATATAGACTAAAAATTACTGAAGAGGGCGCCTGGGTGGCTCAGTCGGTTAAGCATCCGACTTCAGCTCAGGTCATGATCTCACAGTCTGTGAGTTCGAGCCCCGTGTCGGGTTCTGTGCTGATGGCTCAGAGCCTGGAGCCTGCTTCAGATTCTGTGTCTCCCTCTCTCTCTGCCCCTCCCCTGCTCATGCTCTGTCTCTGTCTCAAAAATAAATAAAAATATTTAAAAAAATTTTTTTAATTACTGAAGGTATTTATGCAGTATGCAATGGTAATGATGTCAACAATCACAAAAACACAAAGTAAATGAACATCTCAGCAAGATCAAAAACAAAAAAAAAGTTACACTTTCTTGCACACCTCCCATTGCACTTGTCATATGTCAAGAAAGCAAGCATGAAAAATTTTAAAAGGTAACTAAAGCAATCCAGAGAAGAATGGTTGGGACTCCATAGGAGGACAGCTCAGTCTCACAAAACCAGCAGGCACTCTGGACAGAGGCAATCTGGCTCCAAGTTTTGGGTGAGTTTCTCAACTTCTAAGTCTCATTTGTAAGCTAGAGTGATTAAAAATACCTACCTCATAGAGTTTTGGTAAAATTAAGTAAGACAAACTGTACATTAAAGAACTCTGTAAACTATGAAGCACACTACAAACGTTGGTTATTCCTATACTGAGGTAATTTTTTTAAAACACAGTGACTCTTAAACAACACAGGCTTGAACTGTGTAGTGTGTAGGTCCATTTATACCCAGATTTTCTTTGATAGAGTATAGTACTGTATATGTATTTTCTCTTATAATTTTTTCAGTAATATTTTTTCTCTTTATTACTCAATTATAAGAATATAACATACACAATTTGTGTTAATCAACTATTTATGTTTATCAGTAAAGCTTCCAGTCAACAGTACGCTAGCTAGCGGTAGTTAAGTTTTGGGGGAGTCAAAAGTCAAACACATGGATTTTCAACTGCATGCAGGAGGATGGGGGAGGGGTCAATGCCCGGAAGCCCCCAGGTTCATGGGTCAACTGTGTTAGGATTCTAAACCAGCAAGACTAGAAATCCAAAGAGAATAAAATTAAAACCTATTAAAAAAAAAAAAAGACTGATGATTACTTTATATATTAGACTCAACTATAATTAATAAAATAACTTCTTATAAATTACCCCCAGATTGAATACTTCAAATCTTAGAATATCCAAGAACTAAAGGCAATTCAGGACCAACTAAAAACAACTTACCTTGGCACTTGTTGAAAGTGCAAACAAGTCTGAGAAAGAAAATTAACAACTTAATTTATGATTACTAGCCCCATAGTAAATCACTAGGAAACCTGAGGAAGGCAGGTTGGAAGAAAATCGGAGGCAAAAGGCAAACTTTTCAGACTATGGCCAAAGGGAACACACGAACTACATGAAATATGAATCTTACCCAGAGGGAGAATTCTTTAAAATTGTTTTTTAAAGTGTTTTGAAATCTACCCACAATTCAAAAAACCAAATTTATTATGTATGACTTTTTATAAAAGACATTATTTACCTTATATGCCACAAATCAAAGTAGTTTTTGATTAGGGTCTTAGCTTATTAAATCTAAAAAGAATAACCCGCTTCATTTCTAACACAATCATGCACAATAAGTAAACTCCTCGATGAGAAAGACAAGAATAAAATACAAACTCAAGTTCAACTTACACCATAAATTACAATCAATATTGACATATGTTTTTTCTCCTTACCTTAATATCAAGAGAATAAGGTGTGATCTTCTGGCCAATTTTTTCTAAGAAAACACATAAAAATTTTAGGACTTCTTCTCTACAATCACGAAACTGTAAAAAATATAGTAAATATGGGTAAGAAGAAGAGTCACTCCAACATTTAGGAATACACACGAAAAGGAAAATAAAGATCTTCAACTTACTTCATCAATGCTAAGTGATTTCCGAACAAATACAAGCAAACCGAAATCTTTGGAAAAAACTAAGGAAGTCTGTAATGCTGGACAAAAAAAAACAAGTAAGGTAAGAGAGTTGCCAAAAAGCACTCCATAAACCCACCCTAAATGGGTTGCATATTTCTCAATTCAGCCTTATAAACAATTAAACACTAACTTAAGGATGCTGTATTTAAATAAAGAAAACAGGAAATTCTAGATGATATTCCATTGAGATGACACAGGCAGAATGGCTCCAAAGATACTTGAGTCCTAATCCCAACGTCACACCTGTGAATACGCTAACTTTACATGGCCAAAGGAAATTAAGGTTGCAAATGGAATTAAAGTTGCTCATCGCTGACTTTAAAGAGGGGAAATTATCCTGGATTATCCGTGGGCCCAATATTATCACACGGGCCCTTAACAGTGGAGGAGAGAGAAAGAAGAGTGTTGGAAAGAGGGGGGCAGGAGAGAAGAGAGATTTCAAGCACAGGGGTTCCTGGACCCATGGTTGCTGGCTTTGAAGATGGAAGCCATGATCCAAGAAATGTGGGTGGTTTCTACAAGCAGGGAACATCAGGAAGGAAAAAGGGACCTTAGCCCTGCAATTGCAAGAACAGAATTGTGCTAACCTGAATGAAAAAGGAAATGAATTCCACATGACCCTGCCTGATGCCTGGGTTTTAATTTGGTGAACCCATGTTAGGCTTCCAACTACAGAATTGTAAGATTAACAAACCTAAACCACTAAGCTTGTAGTATTTGTTACCGCAACAAGAGAAAACTAATACACTCCCCTATAGTCTCTCACGTGAAAGAACACATACTAAATATTCAGAATAAACTTGGAACGGCTTTATCAACAAGTTAACTAAAGGAATGAAAAAGGAATTCTAACTTAGAAACGCTGAGACTAGAAAACATTTACAGGTTAGTTTTTAAAATTTACTTTCACGCTGATAATACACCCTTGGCAATAGATAGGTATTAGATAGCATCGTAAGTTTTCAAGCAATGATATATTTTTAAAGTGCTGAAAAGAAGCACTTTTACTACAAAGGAACAAAAAGTTCTCACTCAGAGATTGCTCACAAAGATGTGACTTTTCGGTTACATTTCTGCAATGCTTCTCAAAAGTAGGAACCTTCCTTCTGAGGTTTCAAACCTGAGGGTATGAGAAAGGTACTGGAGGGTTTAGGTGCGTTTAAGGTGAAGGAAAATACTTTCCTTTGGTTCTCTCTGCCCACTTTGCATAGTAAGGATTGCTAAACTTAAGGCATTTTCACCAACTTTACTTTTAAAACATCTTTCCTAACAAAAAAAAAAGCCGCATGACAAGTCACTTTTTTTCCACAAAAATTTCCACAGAAATTCCGACAATCCAGAATCAAAAGGCTGGACTTCAAAATACCGCTATATGCACCCACGGCGGGAGAAACGCTAGGCTGTCGGGCTCCAGCAACCCCAAACGCGCACGCGCGTCTGCGCCCCCCTCGGCACGGCCGGGACAGTACCCACCCAGCACTGAGGGGCCGGAGCTCAGCACGCACTCCTGCCCCAGGCCCCGGATCAGCTGGTAACTGGCCATCGCGGCGCTGCAGCGGTCCCCGGCAGACAAGGACTTCTGCAGCTGCAGTAGGGAGCCCTGCACGCCTAACCCGGAGTCAGCCATGATGCCCAAACCCGGCACTGCGCGTGCGCAACCTCTGCCGGGATCCCGAGATGCCACGGGGCTCGGAGGCGGGGCTCACGGGTTCGGGGCTGGGGTTTCCGGGGCAGGGGCGGGGCTCGCAGTGACTGGGCTCTTGGGGGAGACCTTGAATGGAGACTTTTTTGGAAGAAGAGCCGCTTAGATGTGAATTAAGATATTAGAAAGCCAACGAATGTGTTACACACAATACACTTAGGACGCTTACATCGAAGCCTAGGGAGAAACAGGAATTCAACAATTTGGCCTCGAAATAAATGGGGCGGAATGTTGGTGACTTGGGGTCAATCAAAGGCAGGAAAAAGAAAAAACAAGCTAGAGGCTTGGGTCAAGATCGACAAAGTTGTCCCTTGATAAAGAGTGAAAAATGCATGTGTAATGTCTTTAAAAATGAAGTGCCTAACGAACACAGAAAAACATTCTTAGCCAACACTACAGTGTAGAAAAACCCCTCCGTAAACCTGGTCTGGCCGGACACCCCAGTTTTCCCGCGAAAACGCCATCTCTAGGGGGTCAGACCACCTAAACGGAGGGGGCGGCACCGAGCGAGGCTTGAGTCTGTTGCCGTGAGGCGCCGAGGGAGGCTGCTCAATCTCCCCTGTAGGTGCGCAGTGGCGTCTCCCGGAGGCGGGGCCATACATGGGCGCCTCTGTGATTGGTGGCGCACCGCCGAGGGCGTGGACGACAGTGCCGCTGGCGCGAAATCTAGGCCCAGCCCCCGTGGTTTCGGGACACTAGCCTCCGGGTGCGTCTGGGACCCCTGCGCGCCTCGAAGGTGGCCGCGCTTCCCCAGCAGCAGCTAGAGGGCGGGGGCGGTGCGGCGCGGTGTCCAGCGCGGTTGTCTGTGCGGTGGGGAAGGGGAAAACCGGAGGCGGACGCGGCGTGAACCTCCCTTTTCGTTGCGCAGGTACCCCGAGCACCATGTCGTCCCCGGCGTCCACCCCGAGCCGCCGCGGCAGCCGGCGCGGGCGAATCACTCCCGCGCAGACGCGTAAGTCCCTTCCCGTGGGTCGGGCTCGCCGCATTACCCTGGCCTCTCTTTTGGCCTTTTCCCGCCGCCCTGGTCTGTGCGCAGGGCCCCGCGGGTTTCAGTTTCGGAGCGGTGTCTTTAAGTCTTGGCATGGAGTAAGATGGGCGGACTGCGAGCCCTTTGCCCGGTGTTCTGCCAGTTCTAGTGTGCAGGCACTTTGTTTGTGGGGCAGGCAGCGCTGGGCCTTCATTTCCACCCTTGCCAAGCTGTTTTTTATTTGTAAATATGTCCATGCCTATTTGTCTCCTTTTTGTTTGGTTTGTTGCTTGTTCCCAAAAGATTTGATGGAACTCGAGGAAGACCAAACGTGAGAATTAATGGCCATCTTTTCTGTTTTGTATGTCACAAGCTCGAAGTGAGGATGCCAGGTCATCACCGTATCAGAGACGTAGAGGCGAAGATTCTACCTCTACAGGAGAGCTGCAGCCTATGCCGACCTCGCCTGGAGCTGACCTGCAGAGCCCTGCCGCTCAGGACACGTTATTTTCCAGCCCTGCTCAGATACATTCTTCAAGTGTGTTTCTGGCGTTCTAAGTTATACTGTGGTTAATATATGATGATGCTTCTGCTGGTCAGATGTGCTGGTTTGTTAACGGGTGGTTAATGTAACTGTATGTTCAGCAAGAGTACAAGATAGTAGGTGTTAGGGCTTCATGAGCAGACAAAGAAAGTTTTGGTGCTTTTTTACTAGAAGGTTTAATAGTCCTGGGATCTTCATCACTTCAGGTCGCAAGGAACGTTATTTGCTATTGTGTTTAGATGACTTAGATCAACCAATAACATGCTCTAGTTTTTTATTTGATAGGCTACCAGAATTTTATTGTAGATTGTCAAACTTTGTTTTTGTAGCAATCCCCCTTGACTTTGACGTTAGTTCACCACTGACATATGGCACTCCCAGCTCTCGGGTAGAGGGAACCCCAAGGAGTGCTATTAGAGGCACGCCTGTGAGGCAGAGGCCTGACCTGGGGTCTGCTCGGAAAGGCCTGCAGGTGGATTTGCAGTCCGATGTGGTGAGTACACAGTACGGTTTTCTGATAGAGGTTTTGGGGGACATGGGATGGGTAATTCCCCATTAACATTGTTCTATGGTGTTTTTGTGTATAGCCAGCAACAGAAGATATAGTGGCGAGTGAGCAGTCTCTAGGCCAAAAGCTTGTGATTTGGGGAACAGATGTAAATGTAGCAACATGCAAAGAAAATTTTCAGGTAAGCTGTACTTTAATATGGCTCTGAAAGTGCTGGGAGAAAGAGTTTATGAACTATAAGTAGCCATAACACTTGGCTGTATAAGAATACATATGCCTCCAAATAGTGATGGGCTCATAATTTTTTGCATTTTGAGTAGTTGCTTATTCCTAAATGCATCAGATTTCATGTTTTTCTCTCTACATCAAGAGGTTCCTTCAGCGTTTTATTGACCCTCTGGCTAAAGAAGAAGAAAATATTGGCATAGATATTACGGAACCTCTGTACATGCAGCGACTTGGAGAGGTAATCAAATAGTCTTATAAATTCAAATTATGTATTTTAAAACAGTTAGCAGAACATAACTTGTCTTCTTTTCTAGATTAATGTCATTGGGGAGCCATTTTTAAATGTAAACTGTGAACACATAAAATCATTTGACAAAAATCTATACAGACAGCTCATCTGCTACCCACAGGTAAGAATTTGATTTTGACCTTGATGAACTACAGTAAACATCCAGAATATCTAGAGGATTTTTTAATAGCTGAATTTCATGGGTCTCCAAAATGGGCTTCCAGAGCACAAAAACTTAAGAAAATCATGTTTCTTCTCCTTTAAGATGAACATTTTTCTCATACTTTTACCTTTCCAAAATAGGGATATGTATTATTGTTAGTGGCATGTCATAGTTTAATTGGCAATATTTAACAGTATATAAAATAATGGTGAATCTTAAAATTGATAGCTCCTTGGGTTGGATGAAATAAATGATCTTAAGTGAAAATATTTTATAAATAAATGCATTACATATTTGTGCCATCTGTAACAGATTATGTTAACTTTTTTTGAAGCTTTAGGTCAGATTTTATTGAAGTGTCAGCTATGTTGATTTTTTCTTTTTAACGTTTATTTATTATTGAAAGAGCACGAGCATGAGGGGCGGAAAGGGGGGGAGACACAGAATCCAAAGCAGGCTCTGAGCCATCAGCACAGAGCCTGATGCAGGGCTCAACTCATAAACCGCGAGATCATGACCTGAGCCAAAGTTGAACGCTTAACCAGCTGAGCTGCCCAGGGGCCCCTGAGCTATATTGATTATGATTGTAGTTTTGGGGCAAGCTGACTTGGTTTTATATCTTGATCTTGCTACATAATAGCTGTGTGACTTTGGTCAAGTTCTCTAGCCTCTCAGAGGCTGATTTTTCACCTGTAAAATGGAAAACAAATGTTAACAAATTTGCGGTAATTATGATTTATTTATTCTGGTATCATTATGGGGAAAAAAATAAGACACAAAAGTTTAAAATCCTTTTGTTACTAATTAAAAGCCTAAGACGAGGCAGTACATTGTGAAGATTTCATATGCGTGGTCACACTTAACCCAAATGAGAATATGCAAAGGTGAGATAGCTCAGTCTCAATGTACCCAAGGTTTTGTAAAATGCATGTTGTGATTATATACAGGTGATATTTTTGGATTATGCTGTGTGTTTGTTTTTATATTGCCAATATGAAATGGTCTATTTTTTGTATTTAATTCTAAGATGGAAATATAAACATACCTTTGTTTCTATGTATTTTTTTCTATGTATTATAGGAAGTTATCCCAACCTTTGACATGGCTGTCAATGAGATCTTCTTTGACCGTTACCCTGACTCAATCTTAGAACATCAGATTCAAGTAAGACCATTCAACGCACTGAAGACAAAAAATATGAGAAACCTGAATCCAGAAGGTAATGTTTTTAATAAGAAAATACATAAACAAAATCTTATTTCACTATCAAGGAACTTTAAAAGAGTTGGTGTATGTGATAGTGATGATAATGGATTATAAATTGACTATGTGGCAAATTCATTTACCTTATACACCTTTGAACCCACTGTACCTTTTTTTAACTTAACTGAAATTACATAAAAAATGTTATAACTCTTGACAACTGTCTATCTTAAGAAGAACTTGCCCAAATATAAATTTCACAGTTACTAAATAAGCACTTTTTTCAAAATCACTGTAGAAAACAAATGCAAAATATGATCCCTGCCTTGGAGCTTAAGAAAGAACTCTAGTTCCGAAAGTAATAAAAGAAAAATGTAGAACAGGAGATCAGTGCAGGAGATGTCTCAGCTGAGGGAGGGCAGGAGTTCTAGGCCCAGGTGGAAAGAGTTCATGTTGAGAGAGAAATTTGGGTTATAGTAAGGATTTGGAAAGCAAGCATGAAGGAATCACGATACAGCACAAAGGGGGATGTAGGCAGAAGTGAACCAGAGCTGAGCATGAATAGCAAATGCTGGCTGAAGCAGGGAGTTAATGTTTGTGTGAGGGCTGGAAAGCCTGGGTCCTGAAGAACTTGGAATTCCAATTTAATACAGATTTTTACTCCAAAGTCAATAGGGAGCCATTGATACTTTTTCAGGAGAAAGCAAGAAGGCTTTTGCACTCTTGAGAAGTTTATGGTGGGTCGGTCTGGTGTGCAAGGTATGTTGAAATTCAGTTAGGAGATGTTAACAGTAGCTCCAGTGTGGAACAGCAGGGTCCTAAGCTGGACAGTGGCCATAGGAGTGAAAATACAGGACAAATATAGTATTTGCCATGTGTAAAAATTGAGGTGTATAAAGTATGGAGAATGAGTAAATACCCCTGTAGGCGAACATGCAAAAGACACAAATATCGGTAAAAGAAAATACAACGGCCAATAAGCAAGCAAGTGTTGGAGTTCACTATTGATTAAAGGAATATATATACATATATGTGTATCATGAAATTGGTTCCTGACCTCACTGCTATGATCGGCCATTCAGTGGTGACGCAGAAGGAAGTAGGAGGCTGTTTGAGTAAGAGTGCTACAGTTAAGTTTCCAGAGGCAGAGCGCTGGTACATGAAGAATTCGGGGTAAGATAGAAGATTATCACAGTTTTGGAGGAAGAGGAATTGCCAGATACTCAACTAATTTCAAAAGTGTTCTAACTTCTACGTTTATCTGTGTAACTAGTTACAGAGGTTACTTGTTAAGGTAAAAGGATTGGTAGGTAAAAAACCTAAGGTAAAAAAAGAAAGGAAGATTTGTAAGTAGGTGGAAGGGAGGACTGGGCCAAGTGCGAAAGACCTCATGAATCATTAGTAAGTACTGGAAGGCTAAAAGAATCTACACGGCCACCAGTGGCTGACTATGGGCTGAGTTCTATTGACTACAGATAACAGTGTTACTCATTTGGAACCACCAGTGGGAATTAGTTGGGTAAAAGTTTTGCCAGGGAAGGCCCAAATTGTAGAGGAACTAGGAACAAGAGTGAAAAATATTCTGTATAAGAGCTTTCTTGTATAAATGGCAGTAAAGATTGCCTAAGTTTTATAGTGCTTATTACTGCAACGTACTGTTCTTATTAAGCTTGATGTATGCAGGCTGTTAATCTTCAACAACTTCATAAGGTAGGTGCCATCCTCACTGCCATGTGTAGATAGGCACAGAGTGGCTAAGGATATCCTCAAGGTCACAAAGGTTCTCAGTCCTGATCATCTGGCTCCAGGGCCCATGCTTTTCACATAAAATGACACAGCAGGACTTCTACAGATACAGTGAGTGAGGTGGGGGGCCGTGGCACAAAGGAGGCAAAAGTGTAAACCTTCTAATCCAAAATCGGAAGGTGGAGCAGAACAAGAGGCAGACGAGCAGGGACGTGGTAGAGGCCTGTTGGAGACGGGGCCCTGGGACATAGGGCCAGAGGTCCATCAGAGCAGAGAAGAAGGAAGACAACACAGGAAGGGCATCCCAAGCCAGACCTGAGGGTACCCAGTGAAACATTTGTGCCCTGGCCACAGCACCTGTCTGCGACCCCAGCCATCCCCAGCTACCTCTGCATCTCCCAGTAGCATTCTCCTGGGCTTCACAGCATGCCCAGACCTGCCCTGGCAGGCGTATAGCTCAGGGAAGACCACGTCTGGCTGGGCTGTGGACAGTGGCTGATGGACAAGCTGATCTCTCTCCCCAACCCCTTGCAGACATCGACCAGCTCATCGCCATCAGTGGCATGGTAATCAGGACATCCCAGCTGATTCCAGAGATGCAAGAAGCTTTCTTCCAGTGCCAAGTGTGCGCCCACACAACCCGGGTGGAGATTGACCGTGGTCGCATCGCTGAGCCCTCCGTCTGTGAGCGTTGCCACACCACCCACAGCATGGCACTGATCCATAATCGCTCTGTGTTCTCCGACAAGCAGATGGTGTGTGCTTTCTTGGGGCCCTGGGAGGCCCCTTTGGCATGTTTGTTCTACATCTCTGGATCCTCAAAAAGCCAAATTTAACACGTCCGTTAGTAAGGCTCTAAAACCTGGCTTCCTAAATGGAATCCAGCTATTTCATTCCTTCTTTGACACTAGATTTTGTTACAGGGTTTTGGGCTGGGTACTTGAAACTTAAGCCTTCAGCTTTGGGATGGCAGTGTTCCAAGATCAGTAAAAACCGAGCTTGTGGCTGGCTCGGTCAGTAGAGCATGTGACTCTTGATCTCAGTGTTGTAAGTTTGAGCCCCACGTTGGGTATACAGGTTACTTAAAAAATCTTTTTTAAAAGATTGGTAAACATTATTTGGTTTGATTTTGTCATTTTTCGGCTGTGCCAGTGGTACAGAATGAATTGACAGGTTTTCTAAAGTTTTTCTCACAGATTTTATTATAAAGGAAGTTTGGCCTTTTGCCTCTTTAATCCTAGACATTTTAAGGTGAAGTTATTAAGATGACTTACAAATAAGTAGGAAAAGGCAAAATAATTTATTTGCTACGATTATGATGGTATAAAGGCACACACAGGGTCAAGGACTGTTTTTTTGTTGTTGTTGTTACAATATTTAAACAACTTTTGGGGCGCCTGGGTGGCGCAGTCGGTTAAGCGTCCGACTTCAGCCAGGTCACGATCTCGCGGTCTGTGAGTTCGAGCCCCGCATCAGGCTCTGGGCTGATGGCTCAGAGCCTGGAGCCTGCTTCCGATTCTGTGTCTCCCTCTCTCTCTGCTCCTCCCCCGTTCATGCTCTGTCTCTCTCTGTCTCAAAAATAAATAAACGTTTAAAAAAAAAAAAAAAAGATTTAAAAAAAAGAAAGAACATGGTTAAAAAAGAAAAAAAAAACAATATTTAAACAACTTTTAAAAATTTAAGTAGAGAATGTGTTCAAAATACTACAAAAGGTAATTTCCTGTATGGGGAGTCAGTGAGAAAAATATTAGCAAATGTGAAAAAGTGTTCAACTTTTTACTAACCAAAGAATTGAAAATTAAGATAGAAATGTTTAATGTTGGTGAATATTGGTAAATTTTTATCTAATATAAGCAAATATACCTCAACTCAATGCCAGCGTGGTGCTGAGTTGGAGATAAAAATTTGGCAACCCTGCTCCCTAGGTGCTTTAGTATTTTTAGAATGCTTTAAAGATTCCCAAACTGACTTGAAATAAAACCTTTAATGTCTTAGAGTAGCCTCTAAACTATGTGGCCCCACATCACCACAACACACTTTGTGTACCCACAGACCTCAGTGACAGCGTCTCAACCATTTCCTTATACAACCATTTCCTTCCTCAGCCAAGCATAAGTTTGCCTCAGGACCTTTGCAGTGAATGTTCTTACCATTCAGAACACGTGGCTTCCTCTCTAACATCCTTACACCTCTGCCTAGAGGTTGCTTGATCTGAGAAAGGCCTTCCCTAGCCTTGCTTTACAAAAAGCGTCTCTTCACCCCCACCACCTGTGCTCCTTACTCTGTATTTTCTTCTGTCTGTTGGATTTGTCACTGTCAGATGTTACGTACTCACTTGTATGTTTGTGTATTGTCTGTCCTCCACTCTGAGGGAGGGAACTTCATTCACTGCAGTCTCCAGTACCTAGAACCAGGGTCCAGCACATGGCAGGTACTCAGCCAATACCTCTTAGATGAGTAAATAGGCAAGTATTTGTGACTAGCAGAGATGCACAGAAGTGCTTAACCATGAATCTGAAAAGTGTACTTCTCCACCTAGGAAATCTATTAGAAGTCATTTCTCAAAACGTAACTAGAAATATAGGCAGACATTTAAACCAAGAAATATCGACTACAACCTTGAAATGGCAAAAAAAAAAAAAAAAAATGGTGACAAGTCACCAGACACTTCCCCCAACTAGGGTAATGTGTAAATAAACAATATCCTTCCAAAAATGTGATCGTGTCACATGAAAAGCTTTTAAGAAAATGTTAGCTATCTGGAGATAAAAGCAAAGAATGGTGTTTTAAAAACAAACACGGTAGGGGCGCCTGGGTGGCGCAGTCGGTTAAGCATCCGACTTCAGCCAGGTCACGATCTCGTGGTCCGTGAGTTCGAGCCCCGCGTCGGGCTCTGGGCTGATGGCTCAGAGCCTGGAGCCTGTTTCCGATTCTGTGTCTCCCTCTCTCTCTGCCCCTCCCCCGTTCATGCTCTGTCTCTCTCTGTCCCAAAAATAAATAAACGTTGAAAAAAAAAAAAATTAAAAAAAAAAAAACAAACAAACACGGTAAACATCAAAAGTAGTTATCTCTAAGTAAGACTGGCAGTTTTGTGCAAATTATGCTTGTCATTTGTTGAGATTTCGGTTTCTACTGCTCTTTCAGATCAAACTTCAAGAGTCTCCTGAAGATATGCCTGCAGGGCAGACGCCTCACACTGTCATCCTTTTTGCTCACAATGATCTTGTTGACAAGGTTCAGCCTGGAGACCGAGTGAACGTTACAGGTAAGAACGTAAATTGTATTAATGAGAGAAGTCTGTCTTGTTTTTTTTTGTTTTTGTTTTTTTGACACTTTTTAGTCCTCTGGCTTGGTCCTGCCTGCAGGAGTCATTCGAGTCTTGAGGAAATGAGTCCTGCTTTAATCACCTTTCTACCTAACAGGATAGAACCTTTCCAGTCATTGTCCTTGCAGTTGCTTGCTTTTGACATCTCTGTGTTCCAGAGCTGTGAGTGTATTTTGACTTGATAGTGTTGGTATCTTGAGAAAACGGCTCAGACAAGGCTGGTGTTGCTAAGATTGAAATCATACGAGCAGCTCCAGGAAACAGCACTCACCAACTCTGGAATTTTAAGTAATTTGCTACTTATTTCCCAAATGCACAGCCAAGGGTTAACACTCACCTGTCATAGAGAAGAATGGGTCAGAGCACTTTGCTTCCACGCACGAGTCACGTGATATTTTTGGAGGGAGTGGACACTGAGACTTGCAGATCACTGTAGCTGAGGTTCTAATTTGTGGCACAGGGCTCCTCCCCTCTTCTGGCCACGAGAGTGCTATGTCACTGCGCCACGCACACATGCCAGTTTTTCTCTGCTTCCGAGCAGCATGAGCACCTGGTTTCTCAAAGGGGGTGTGTTTGGACAGCAAGCACAGTTCTTCATTGAGGGCAGTGAGGGGACTAAGTCCAGGGAGTGGCCATGGCTCCCAGGGCAGCCTCTGGGTTGTGTTCAGTGAGTTAGGACTTCTCATCTCGTGTCTCCCGGTATGAAGCCCAGCATTGTCCCTGGCAACCTGATAACAATGTGGACGACTAGTTCTGCCCCTACTGCTTTGAAATCTTTGGTAAAGTATTTAGTCTGCTATTTTAATTTCCTCAACCTCCAAGTGGAATTAATGTGATGATACAGGTGAATGTATTGGGGGGGGGGGTGCTGTGGAAAGCACCGTATGAATGTAAAGTAAGTATTGTTTGTGCTGTTCTAAGGCAGTGAATCCCTGCAAGCACCAGTAGAGATAACTAGACCACTTTAAATCATCATCCATCCCTAATCTGGCTTGCCTGAAGAAGGGTGTGTAGTCTCAGAATACTGCATTCAAATTGGTTTTTACGTCTTGAAAAAGAATTACGTGACCTGCTAATAAACAGAAGGACCAGCAATCTATGGAGGCTTGTCGTGAAGGCTGTTGGTAGAGGGCACAGATGCTTGCTCCTCAAGCAGCAGGAAAGTGGATTGTCCCAGAGTCCAAGCCTTCTAGCTTGAAAGTCAAGAAACATAAACAGACCTATCAGGTTGGGAAACACTTCTTTTTTTTTTTTTTTTTTTTTTAATACGTTTATTTATTTTTGATAGAGAGAGACAGAGCACAAGTGAGGGAGGGGCAGAAGAGAGAGGGAGTCACAGAATCCGAAGCAGGTTCCAGGCTCTGAGCTGTCAGCACAGAGCCTGACACAGGGCTCAAACTCACAAACCATGAGATCATGACCTGAGCTGTAGTTGGATGCTTAACCAACTGAGCCACCCAGGCACCCCGGGAAACACTTCTTAAAGAACAAATGAGTTGGTATGTTTGAAGTGCTGATTGTTCATTTACCTCTAATGTTCTTAAATTATATTTAAGAAGCACACTGGAGCATGGCCATTCACCTAGAAACACTTTTATTTTTCCTTTATCATATCTTCACCTTTGACTCCGTAGGCTGTCATGTCTAAGTAATTTTTGAGTAATTTGTAAAAGAGCTTTTAGGATTTCCTTTCTTTCCAAATTTTTGGTACAGGATTTTAGGACTTTGTTCTAAATAATAGTACTTTGTCAAATAATTATTAAGCAGATTCAGTACACTAAGCTTAAGAGAAATGAAAATAACTATTTCAGAATACTATTTACAGAACACAGCCATCAGCCAGCATTGTGTTAAAAGCAAAATAATTTCATTTAATCTCAGGATGATTGTATGCAGTGGTTATACTCAGATAGGTGCTCAAGGTCATAGAGCTAACAGTCACAGATGAACACATTTTTGGGTCTGCTTTTTTCAAAAACCTGTGTTCTTCCCAACTTGCCTTGCCCCCTTCAGTGGGGAGCTTTGTAGCAAAGGCCTGAGCCCTTGATTCTAGGAGGGCCGCGAAGGCAGTGTGCGTGGAGGCTCACTTCCCCTGCCAGCCGTCAGATCTCTGCGGTGCTCCCTGTTGTCCATGCTGGTTTATGAGCCATTGAGGAGAAGATAAAAGCAGGTGTCTTGGTTGTGTCCTCAGGCATCTATCGAGCTGTTCCTATTCGAGTCAACTCACGTGTGAGTAATGTGAAGTCTGTCTACAAAACCCACATTGATGTCATTCACTATCGGAAAACTGATGCAAAACGTCTACATGGCCTTGATGAAGAAGCAGAGCAGAAACTGTTTTCAGAGAAGCGTGTGGAGTTGCTTAAGGAACTTTCCAGAAAACCAGACATTTATGAGAGACTTGCTTCAGCCTTGGCTCCAAGCATTTATGAACACGAAGATATAAAGAAGGTAACAATGGATTTTTAACTTTGATCAGGATTTGTAGTTCTTTGAGATCAAAAGGTATAAACATCCCCCCTGCCCCCCAGCCCATAAAGGATAAGAGTTGTTGCCTGTTCCATAGAGCAGGTGCTCGCAGTCTGATTTAGTTATTGGTCGACAAGAATCACAGCATCATTGTCCCTTTCCTCATGTCTATGTTGAACTTGGATGTTTCTCAACATAACCAGATGGGGTCAGAATAGGGATTTGCATGGCCACTATTCTGGCACAGTGGCGTGTGCTTCTATACAAATTGGTTAGTGATCATTTAAAGCACTGTTGTGTCGTTTCCACCTTCCTTTAATTTCTTAATTGTGATTTTTGTATTCACAGAGTAAGAAAATCCCACTAACGCTTATACTGGATCTCAGTTACTATGTAGTAAGTGAATGTTTAACATGTTTGTTTAGGGAATCTTGCTTCAGCTCTTTGGTGGAACAAGAAAGGATTTTAGTCACACAGGCAGAGGCAAATTTCGTGCTGAGATCAACATCCTGCTGTGTGGTGACCCTGGTACCAGCAAGTCTCAGCTGCTGCAGTATGTGTACAATCTGGTCCCCAGGGGCCAGTACACGTCTGGGAAAGGCTCCAGTGCAGTTGGCCTCACCGCATACGTGATGAAAGACCCTGAGACGAGGCAGCTTGTCTTGCAGACTGGTGCCCTTGTTCTGAGTGACAATGGAATCTGCTGTATTGATGAGTTTGACAAGATGAATGAAAGTACGAGGTCAGTACTACACGAAGTCATGGAACAGCAGACTCTTTCCATTGCAAAGGTGAGGCCCGTTCTGCATGCTTAACGTGGGTACACTTAGAAATCTAGAACTTTGGGAAACTCGTGAATACTTTCCAGTACTTTTCCTGCTAGGTGTCAGCTAAATGCTTTTGAAAAAGTATTTTCCGCAAGATCATCTTTTGTTTGCTGTACTGGCTCACTAATGTGTGGAATTTGTAGAACTTGAGTTTGTCCAAAATGTCCTGCAAGGGGTTTAGTTTGTGACAAAAATGCAGTTACGGCTTGCATTTATCTAAAACTCTGTTCTTGGCGTGAATCTGAGGATGGGATTGTCCCAGGTGGATCTGCTGACGTCACCCTTACAAGGTGCTGTTGCATGGCTGTTGGTGACAGTGGGTACATGGCAGAGGGCGTGCCAGCGGAAAATCGCTCACACTGTTCCTGCCAGCGTTAGGGTGAAGCTTCTAACTGCACTGTTTTCTCTGACAGGCTGGGATCATTTGCCAGCTCAATGCACGCACGTCTATCCTGGCAGCAGCAAATCCTATTGAGTCTCAATGGAATCCAAAAAAAACTACCATTGAAAATATCCAGCTGCCTCACACATTATTATCAAGGTATGAGAACATAAAAGAGATGTTCTTACTTTGCTCATTTGTAGAATTTTCAGGGTGAGATAAAATAATAGGGGCGCCTGGGTGGCTCAGTCGGTGAAGCGTCCAACTCTTGATTTCAGTTCAGGTCATGATCCCAGGGTCATGGGATCGAGCCCCGCATTGGGCTCTGCACTGAGCATGGAGCCTGCTTAGGATTCTCTTTCCTGTCCCTCTGCCCCTCTCCCCACCTTTGTGTATACTCTCTCTCTAAATAAATAACAATAATAATAGTAATGGTAATAATAATAATAATAGCATTCAGCAGCTACTAGTATCAAATTCTTCATTCTAATGCAAAGTTTTCTAATATGGTTGGTCAGTGTTTTCGTGGCAAGGACTGTGCTTCTCTACTCAGCTGCGAGTGGCATCTTAACATGGAAACTATTGGGACATTTCACCTTGACGTCACTCAAGATACCTGTCCATCAGTCACTGCTCATCTCAGTCTTAAAGCCACTATATAATATTAAGTACAGGGAATGGCTTCACGTGACAGATAAGGTTCTGAAAAATTAAATTTGTGAAAGTGGAGTTCTGTGGTCCATGCTTTTTCTCAACCCCCTTACTACAAGTATTGATGTATTTCATAAATGGATTTTGAGATTTTAATTACTCAACTTTTTTTTTTTAAGTTTATTTATTTATTTGGGGGAAGGGTACAAGAGGAGAGAAAATCTCAAGCAAGCCCTGTACTGTCAGTGCAGAGCCCGATGTGGGGCTTGAACCCACAAATTGTGAGATTATGACCTCAGCCAAAATCAGGAGTCGGACACTTAACCGACTGAGCCACCCAGGTGCCCCTAGACTTTTTTTTTCTAACCAAAGTTGTTTTGTTCTGTTTGTTTGTTTTGCATTTTCCTTTAAATCTTCCAGTCTTCCAAATTACCATAACATTTCCCTTGGAGGAATTGTACTTCTTTGACTCGGCTGTTTGGTGACAAGCCTTTTCCTGGGCAGAGCTAAGGGCCAGAAGAACAGGCACCTGCTGGGGCCAGAACAGGGAGAAGGGGTTGAACTGAAGGCTCACCGGACCACGGGACAGCAGACCCTTAATTGTCCCTTGGCAGCCCTGACTACATGCGCACACGCTCTGCGTGTCTACGTGGCTCGGGAGCAAATTTAAATTTGTGGGTACGTCGATGTCCCGAGCAGGAAAACAGGTTTTTTTCACAATATTTTCTCAGGTTTGATTTGATCTTCCTCATGCTGGACCCTCAGGACGAAGCATACGACAGGCGTCTGGCTCACCATCTTGTGTCTCTGTACTACCAGAGTGAGGAACAAGTGGAAGAGGAGTTCATGGACATGGCAGTGCTGAAGGACTACATCGCTTACGCCCACGGCGCGGTCGTGCCTCGGCTGAGCCAGGAAGCCAGCCAGGCTCTCATCGAGGTAACACAGGTCCCTGTTAAAACCCTGAAAATGTGTCTGTCGAGCTGGTAGCCGGTTGCATCAATGGAATTGGCTGGTCATCTCCTTTAAAACAGTAATTTAGTTAATGACATACTATTTTCTATAACTCATTTTTCCTCCTGTGTTGCAAAATTAACTTTTCTGAAGGTAAAAGGGGGGAAAGGATTCATTTGTATATGTTGTAAAACCTTTCCGTAATTAAATATTTGTAAGCACGGTGAATTTAAGATCAGAATACCTGATTTGAAGTACAAGAGATACTGCTTACTAACTTTGTAACTCTGGAGAAGTCATCTAATTTCTCTGAGCTTCCATTTGCTTGTTTCTAAAACATAAAATGAATTGCAAGTATCTGATGTTCACTTTTCAGTGTCCTTTCACATGTATACAATGCATAATGATAGATAAGTTATTTATGATATTAGGAAGGTTCCTCGTGCTTTGATGGGCTGTATATCCTAAACCCCCGAAAAATGCTTCAATGAAAGTTATAAATGATGCATAATTTTCCATTTGTATCATATACTTGAGGGTTGCTCAAAAAGAAATAAAATTATGTCATAAAAATGTGAGTTTAATACAACTCACCTTTGTAACATTATCCCAGTAGTCTGCCCGCCTTGCTCATTAAATGAACCCTCAGCAGGGGCGTAAATCAGAGACGGTGCCTTGAGCATCTTTTTCAGACAGGCACCCTGATTAGTCCTGTGCTGTAATTGTGGCCTGCGCCAGTACACTGTGTCCCCTGAGTGCCAACCCTTAGGCACCCCACTGCCCGCTCCCATTCTTCACAGCTACATCAGATACCACCTTCTTGCTGAGCTAGCTTCAAGGGCCATGGCTAGATCTGACTTTAATTCCCCTCGGTGCTGCACCTGGCAGCTGGTAGTTTATTTAACAGAATATTAACTGTTCAAAGTTCAACCATGAAAGTAAGGTTATTGTTAAAAGGAGTTTTGGGGTTTTTTTTCCTGTCTACACTAGGCTTATGTAGACATGAGAAAGATTGGCAGCAGCCGAGGAATGGTTTCCGCATACCCTCGACAGCTGGAATCATTAATTCGGTTAGCAGAAGCCCATGCTAAAGTACGATTTTCAAACAAAGTTGAAGCAATTGATGTTGAAGAAGCAAAGCGCCTCCATCGGGAAGCTCTAAAGCAGTCTGCCACCGACCCCCGGACGGGCATTGTGGACATCTCCATTCTAACTACAGGTCTGTGTGCACTGAGCGTACACGTAATTAGTATTTCACATTTGAGCTAACAAATCGCTTGAAGCAGCAGGGGTTCTTAACCTTTTTCAGATCAGGGCCTCTTTGAGAATATATTAGAAATTGTGAGAAAAATATACGCTAACTTCCGAGAAAAAAATGCACTAGCACATGTGCATGCACACAGTGTTGTATCTAATTTCACAGGGATTCTGTTCTGTAGGCACCTGTGTTAGCCCATTTTAAAGAAGTAATTCATTTCTTAATGAGCACTGCTTGCCTTTCAGATTATATGGACTGTGTTTTAGTGGAAACTAACGGCTACTCACTTATAGAAAATTGGAAACAACAGAGAATTCAGAACTCACAATGTTGAATATATTTTGGCATTCACCCAACTGTCCCCTAACCTTTTTGTGGCAATACTACTAAAATACTTATGGAAATTTGAAATATTTCACTTCCCTGTAGCAGAAATATTTTCATTAATTTCTTTTAAATCAGGAATGAGTGCCACCTCTCGTAAACGGAAAGAAGAATTAGCTGAAGCATTGAAAAGACTTATTTTATCTAAGGGCAAAACACCAGCTCTAAAATATCAGCAACTTTTTGAAGATATCCGTGGACAATCTGACATAGTAAGTGTTTAATTTTTTGCTTAATAGAGTTTTTCTTTTTTTTTTCTTTAATACTGCTTTTAGGGTTTTTTTTTTAACTTTTTTTCTTAAATGTAGATATGATATTTTAAAAAGTAAAATCATCCATAAACCCATCAAGAAATAATCATAAAATTTATGCCTATTCCATCGTTTACTTAACCAGTTGTCGGACATTTAGGATGTTTGCAGTGTTTTGCTATTGTACATAGTGTTAACAGTCTTGCATCTTAATTTAATGATGAAATGCTCAGGTTCCCTGATGTAAGTAGAGTTGAGTTGTCCAGTGAAAAGAACTCCAGGGTCCAAGTCCAGCCCTTTGCCTGCTTTCATCATGCTTCTTCACTTGTGTATCTTCGGCTACATTGGCACCACAGGGGCAGAGTTGAGTAATTTCTACATCATATGGGCAGATGTCAAGCCTGTGTATTGCCATCTGGCCCTCTACGGGAAATAGTTGCCCGTCCTGAGTTAGAACCTAAGGAATGTAGGGGCACCTGGGTGGCTCAGTTGGTTAAGCATCGGACTCTTGGTTTTGGCTCAGGTCATGATCTCATGGTTTGTGGAGCCTGCTTGGGATTCTCTCCCTCTCTCTCTGCCCCTTCCCTGCTCGCTGTCTATCAAAAAGTAAAATTTTTTTAAAAATTAAAAAAAAAGAAAAAAGAACCTAAGGAATGTATACAGCCATCAGAAAGGAAAGAGACTGGTAGTTCTTCAACATTGAAATCATCGTAGGGGTTCCTGGTGGCTCAATCAGATAAGCGTCCGACTTTGATTCAGGTCATGATCTCAGGGCTCAAGAGTTCAAGCCCCACGTCAAGCTCTATGCTGACCGTTTAGAGCCTGGAGCCCGCTTTGGATTCTGTGTCTCCCTCTCTGCCCCTCCCCACTCAATCTCTCCCTCTCTCTCAAAAATAAACATTTAAGGGGCACCTGGGTGGCTCAGTCGGTTGAGCGTCCGACTTCGGCTCAGGTCATGATCTCATGGCTTGTGAGTTCGAGCCCCACGTCGGGCTCTGTGCTGACAGCTCAGAGCCTGGAGCCTGCTTCGGATTCTGTGTCTCACTCTCTCTCTGCTCCTAACCCACTCGCATTCTGTCTTTGTCTCCCTCAAAAATAAATAAACATTAAAAATAAATAAATAAATGAATAAATAAATAAATAAAAGACATTAAAAAAAATTGAAATCATTGTATCTCTACAGGTAAGGAGTACGTGACATGTAAAATAATTGTTTTCATCTCTTCCCCAAAGGCGATTACCAAAGATATGTTTGAAGAAGCCCTGCGTGCCTTGGCTGATGACGACTTCTTGACAGTAACTGGCAAAACCGTCCGCCTGCTCTGAAGCTCTCCGGGACAGCGCCGTTTGTGGCTTGTCTGCACTTGGTCGTTGCACTTGCTTGCATATGTGTACAGCATAGGGGCCAGTCAGCTGCCACTGCTGCCGTCAGTGGAAATAGATTCCTTAAAGTCATCTTTTTGGCTCCATAAAAATTTTCTAACCTGGATTCAGTTTTCATAGTGAAGTGTGTGTTTTCGCTTGTTTAACATTATAAGTAAAATTTCTGTGCCAATTGACAAACGTACAGTAAAAGGTATTGTAAGTGCCATTATTATAGCACCAGGATTTTTAATCTGTATTTATATATATCACAGGATGTCAGTGCTGGATTTCCTAAGGGAATCAGGGAATATGCTTGAGGTTTTTGCAATATGGGATAAAACTTAGCCAGGGCATATCATTCAGTGTAAGGTAATGAAGGACCAGAGCCTTTCTCCCTGTTAAAACTCTCAAGTGTCATTCCTTCCAGAGGCTTGTTCTCATGGCTCCCATATGACAAAAAAAAATAAGATGGTTGGAAATGGTTAGGTTCTAGGTTAATTTCTACTTTATCCTAATCTGTAAACTTTTTCCTAAATAAATGATTGAGTAAGTAATACTGGGTTACCTGGTATAATTTTTCATCAGGAAAAAAAGCTTTAGTAAACACTCTATTCATGGAAATTCATGATAGTGCTTTAGAAGTCATAAAAGAAATCCCTATGATATAAGTTCTGTTGTATTTAAAATTTATTTCAATCCTCACAGGCATTCTTACAAAACCACCATAAGCTGAAGTCTTATATGGAAATAGGATTATAATAAATAATCCATGAAAAACCTAAATTGTTGTATGAGTAGGCCTTCTTTTTATAATGTAGGATCAACATTCATTAATACAGAATGCAAAGAAAATGATAGGTCCAAATGAATGGCTAAATAGCATTAAAATGTTAACCTTGGAATGATATTTGGAGGCTTTTTTTTTTTTTTTTTGCAGGGTCTACAAATAATCTTATTGAAACTAAACAACACAACAGGCTTCTTAGAGTGGGGGCCACCCTTCTCAAGCCATTTCCCACACTCTTAAAAGCACAGAGCTTGCACAGTTAGGGATTAAAAAAAATCATTTAGAAGTAGAAATCAGACTCTGCCCCAACGTCATGGACTAGACTATTTACAAACTTTCACCTTTTAAGTATTCTTTTATGGTTGATCTCTCCCTTCTGTCCCTACCCAGGGGCTCCAGTACCTTCCCTTGACCGATCTTGAAGGGATGGGTATACTTACGGGAAGGGGTGGTGGGCTCCTTACAGCTTTTGGCACCAGCCCTGGGGGGAGGGGGGACGGGGTTCTGGGGGAAAGACTTCGTTGCAGTGGGGAGGAATCAGCCCAACCCTGGGTGGAGGGAGAATTCTACACCAGTCCCATCTTCTACAAACAGCTGGCCAACTGCCCATCCATCTGGGAGTGGGAACAGATGAGCAGGTAGGCAGGAAGAATCAGGCTTGCCCTGCCCCCAACCTCTGTCCAACACAGGAGTCGTCAAGGTAGCAAACACGGCGGTAAGGGAAATGAGGGCAAGAAGTGCCCACCTGAATACAATTCCCACAGCCCAGGGGCTGGAGGAAGGCAGATCTTGCTCGTAAAGTGCAGTAGCCCCTAGCGGGGCTGGGCCCTGGGCCAGCTTGGAAGAAAGCAGACCAGGCAAGGGTGCAGGAAGGCGGCGTCACTGACCCGGCATATGTCACTGACCGGCCTATGCCCTGCCGTGCTCCTTGTAGGGATTGTTGGGCAAGGTGGGCTGGTAACTCTGCCATTAGCCCCCGCCAGACACCAGACACCTCTTGTCCACTTACAAACCAACACCCAACCAACGTTGCAGGACCGCCCGGCTCACAACTGAAGGTTCCCGGCCAATGCGGTTTATTCGGGGTCGGGGCCCCAGCTTACGTTCCTTACTGGAAGCCACTCCTCGAGCCTGGGGGTTTCTTCCTGGGGTAGGGAGTGCTTACCCCTGCCACTCCCCAGGCTCACACCTCATAGAGGATCCCAGGAAAATCCACGTGGACGCGGGGAGGATCCAGCTTCACGAGGCCCTGAGGAAGCAGGTTCTTATGTACCCGCCTCGGCTTGGCCCGCTTCTGCCCGGTCCTGGTGACGATTGTCTCCTCGTGAGCCGTTCCCCTTCCTCATCACAGAACTTGGAGCCGTGGCGCCTAAATGCGAAGGGGGACCGGACGCGGCCTCGCGGCCGCACCAAAGCTTGCTCAGCGACTGCCGACCCCGGGGCTCCGCCTCCACCCCCCGCCGCCGAGGCGAAGGGCCTCAGGCCCCCGGGCTTTGGAGCCGCCGGTGCCCAGCCAGGTCAGGGCCGTCGCATGGCGAACCCCGCGGCCGCTTCCCTCCCATGGCCGCGGCCTGCCCCGCCGCCGCTTCCCTCCCACGGCCGGCCGCGGCCTCGGCTCCAGGTGCTTTCGCGCGCCGCCTTCCGCCTGGAGGCCATTTTCATCAAACTTTTTTTTGTGAGTCGGCATTCTTATTTGTGCTGTTCTTGCCAGGTTTGCAAAACACCTCCAATGTTGAAGGAGGCAGTGGTTAGGTTGGGGCGTCACCACAGGACCCAGGTCAACCGCCCGCCAAGTGACCTTACTAGTGAGGTTTCCTCAAGGAATTCACCTGTGTAGGACACCCTTTTGTATGTAATCCTCATCCACTCCGTAGGCTCAATCTTTTATAGATGAAGGAAGCAAGAAGCCTTATCTCTTGCCTGAAGACACAAAGCAAGAGATGAAGCTGGAATTACAGTCAAGGCTTCAGACTTTCCAAATTTCACTTTATGTAACTATGCCACACTCTGGCTATTATTGCTCAGGTTTGGAACGGTTCAGGGCTTTTGGACATGCTGCTTACTCTTCTCAAACCAGGCGGAGAAGTTTCCCCCGTGCCCGTCACGTGATACGTACGTCTTAAATGCTTTCCTGAGAAGCTTGAATCTGTTAAACTGTGTTCTTGTCACCAGGTGTTATTCAGACTAGAAGTGTTTTATTCACATCCCTTGAGTTACTCAGAGATAACTGGTTCTTAGGCTGTATTTGAGCTCGCCACTGACATGCTGTAAATAGCATACATCATCATTATGGAAACTACATTATGTAGAGTCTTGTGAGGCAGTTACCTGAAAGCAGTAGCAAACTGTCCCATGGCCGCTGAGAAAGAGCTCTTGACTTTTTCCCTAAATTGCATACAGAATAAAGTCACAAAGAAATGAGTCCCTTGCACAACTGTAAACTAATTAAAAACATTACATTGCTGCTACTACATAGCTAGAAATCAAGGTTCATAAAGTTCCAGAGCTGATTCCTTTATTCATTTCTGTAGAGTTAGAATTGGTATAGGAAATGAAGGCAGGTTCTTTCTCCAAATTCTTAGTCTACAGCAATGACTAGAATACTGGAAGCCATATTTGAAATTGAATAATGTGTATTTGTAGTACCTGAAATTGCTTGGGAAATAATGTATACTCAAATAGTTGTTGACTTAACATTTTTCTCCCTGGAGTTTATACATTAGTGATTTTTTTTCTAAACCTTGTCATTCAATACCAAGATGGAAATTATATGCAATGTAAATGAAATATATACATAGTTTGATTTTAAGGGAATTTTAGCTGAACAAAAATGTGGATATCCTGTTGCTGGCTGGTTCCATCATAGTTAATTTAAGTTTATTTCAGTGAATTTCTTATTTGCATCTATGACTTTCCAATGGTCTGTAGGTCTCTGAAAGCAGGAATGGCGACAACCTCTGTGCAATGCTTACCAGAGGACATTCTCGAAATCCGTGAACTCTTAGGATGTAGAGTGGAAGAATAAGAGGATGTGCTAACTTAGAGCTCTGCCCCCCTGAATTCTGACAGGTGCTCCTGGGAGGTGTGCCTCATGACTCAGCTGCAGCACATCATACCCCTCACGAGTATGGGGAAGGAAAGGTCGAGAAACGCTGCCTTGGACTGAAGAGCGTCTTCTTTTTATATCAGATGGTTTAAGAGAGCATAGGCTGCCAGGCTCAAATCCTGGCCCATGGCTTACTGCCAACGTGCAGTGCATAGGACACTAGCACCATAAATGCTCAGTACTGTTACTGTGAACAAAATAAGGACAATGTGGGTTTTTCTAACTAGGACAATACAGTTTCAGCTTAATTCCTATGAATGTGTATGTTTTGTTTTGTTTTGTTTTTTAAAACATGACAGTACAATATATTCCACTTGAATTCTCTCTGATTTTGACCCTGGAAGATATCCAAACTTGCTGGTTAGAGTGGCTTTATTTGATTTATGCAAATATACACATGCCATTCTCCTTCCATTATACATCATAAATATAACCAATTCCATCCAAAGGAGTCAAAATTTAATAAGAATGAAGAAATCAGAACTTAATGACTCTTAGCACACAGGTCAGGACATATGTCCTTTAAGAGAGTGCTGTTACTTACTAAATCTAAGATAATTTCTTAAAATGCCTCAATCCAATTTTTAAAACTTCTTGAAATATATTTCAGATTTACACAAAAGTTGTAAGAATAGTAAAAATAATTCCTATATATTCTTCACTCAAATTCCTTTTATGTTAACATATTATCAAGTCTGCTTTTATCATTCTCTATAAATGTTTTTTTAATCATTTGAGAGTAAGTTACAGAGAGGATGCCTCTTTACCTCTAAAAACCTCCTAAAAACCACACATAGCCTAAAAACAATGACATTGCCTCATGTAACCTCAGAACAATTTCATAACATAATTTTAAAAATGAATACTGTAGAGGCACCTGGGTGGCTCAGTTAAGCGTCTGACTCTCCATCTCGGCTCAGGTCCTGACCTCACAGGAGTTCGAACCCTGCATTAGGCTCTGAGCTGGCAGCACAGAGCCTGCTTGGGATCTTCTCTCCTCTCTCTTTCTCTCTCTCTCTCTCTCTCTCTCTCTGTCTCTCCTGCTTGCTCGCTTTCTGTCTCTCAAAG